TTCTAGATTCTGCCTTGAGCTGCTCCCTCTGACCCCCACCGCCAGCCTGGAGAGGAGGCAATCATGAGCCCCTTACATTCCTGCCCCGGGAAAGCTTCACAGCCCTCTGGAGACTGACCAGCTAGGCCCAGCTGGCATTTTTGATGCCAGACCGGACTGGGCAGACGGGTGAGGCCGTGGGGACTCTAGGCTGTATAAAAGTTAATAAATAATAATAATAAAACTCTCAAGTCAACCTTGAAGAGAAGCGAGGTTGGGAGGGAACAGGGCCCCAGGGGCCAGGCCAGGGCTGGGGCCAGCAACCCCTGTGGTGAGGGGGTGGGGCAGGAAGAGGGCCCTGGGCTGCTGGAGCCCCTCTTCCTGCTCAGATGACTCTCATGCCATTTCCAGTTCTGGCTGCGGCCCCTGCCCAGAGCTACCCCATCCTAGCCTCCTCCCCAGCTGCCAAACCCGCCTCTACTCTCCCACATAAGCCCTTGTCCCAGAAGAACGTTAGCCTCTCCTCTCCCTGGGCCACAGCACTTCGTCCTCAGAGCAGAGCAGCTTCTGCCTCCCCGAAACACCCCTTCTCGCACTTCAGCCCCTGCCTGGGGCCACCACGTGGACCCCCAGGTTGGGGAAACCACAGACCCAGAGAGAAGAGGCTGCAGGGCAGGAGCCAGGGCAGGGGGAAAGGCAGCCCCTCAGAGGCAAGCCCCGGCAGACCCCAGAGAGGGTTTCCCAGCTGCAGAGTGGAATTAGCTTTTGCCATGCAGAGAGCAGCGCTCTGGGGCAGCAGAACAAAGAGGCAAGAGAGAAAGCCCCCCTTTGTCTGGGCTTGAATGCCAGGCCAGCCGGGAAGGAAGGCTTTCCCAGAGCCAGGGATGAGGCCAGCCAGGCCTGCCTGCTCAGTCCAGGGCAGGCGCCCAAACCAGGCTTGCCTTCCTATGCCCACCCGGACTGCCCCCAACCCAGCATGGCAGGATCCATCCAGGCTTCTACCTCCAATACCCGCCATAGGCTACACGCTCACAGGAAAGTGAATCTGTCTTCCCTTCCCCTCCCCAACACCCTCACCAGGTGAGAAACTCACACAAAACTCACACCCACCAACCAACCACCGCCAGGCAGGCAGTCACACACCAGCACCGTCACTGACAGTCATGCATGCACACTCAACTTCAACTCACAGTGTGAGGCAAGCAGGGCACCCTCCTCTCTCACAAACACACATGTGCATGTCTTCCTGACCCTGTAGCCACACACGACACCTATGTAATTAAGTCAGTCACTCATTTTGTACCTTCTTGGAGATTTACACGCGAGACATAGGAAAGTAGTCACATGTGAGATGCACAACCGGACATGCTGGTTACACACATGCACACCACACACCTGCAAACAGACATGGACACACAGGCACCCAGAGCTGCAGGAGGCAGAGTAATCAATAGGGCGTGCATGACCGGCACCAGGCTGTGTCAGCAGGACCCTGGGGTGGAGGTGGGGGGCTGGGCCTCTGCCTGAGGCTCCTCTCTGCCTGGGGCCCAGGGAGGAAGGCCAAGCCAGACTCCCCCTTCCTGATCCTTCAGGATGGTCAAGGAAGGAGCAGCCACATGACCCGCACACCTCATTCACACAAAACACCCCCCCACCCCCACCCCCACAGAGCTCCCCACCCTAGCTCCCACCTCACCTAAGACCTCAGAAGTATGGTGAGGAGAGCAGTGGGAGTGGGGAGGGGATACCCCTGCTATAGCTGGGCCAGGGCAGCCCTCACTGCAGAACCCACCGGGAGACAGACACATGGGGCAGAGACCCAGAATCCCCTCCAGAGTCCCAGTGCAACCCCTCCAGCTACAGGGGCAATGTAAGCAGGGTAACCTCACCCCCCAGCAGCTGCAAACACCAAACTGGCCCAAGAAGTGGGATCCCTTCCCCAGAGAACACCTCTTCTTAACTCTGAATCTCTGAGGATGCAAGAAACAGGGTCCTAGGAACATTTCCAACTTCAAGCTGGGGTCCTAGGAATGACAGAGGCATAACTAGGACCTGAACACACACAGACCCTGCATATCCCTTCACACACTTAACTAGGCCTTATCTTGAGTCTTCTTTCCATGTTGAGGGAGGTCATGATAAGGGTGCTCCCAGCTAATACCAGTCCTGTTACTCACACGAACCCCTAAACCTGGGGGCTGGAAGAGGGTCTGACCACCTTGGGCTGCCATGTCTGAGCCCACCTGAATATCCCAATCTTGGCCCCTTAGCCTCCCACAGCCCCAAGCGAGAACACATTTGGGGTTGAGGCATGTCTCAGAGAGCGGTCTCTGGGGTCTGCCCAGTGGGCTTCCAGGCCTCAGGGCAACATGGTCTAGACACTGGCTTCCCCAAGGCAGAGTAGGGCAAGGACCTGGAAGGCCTGGCTCTGAGACCCCCTGTCAGTCCCCTAGCCCTGCTTGCCTTCCCACTGGGCCCCTGGCTCTAGGCCACTGGCCCATGCACGGGTGAGTGCTTGTGAGTAGATGAGTAGGGGGCCACTGGCGGAGACTGATCAGGGTTTCCTATTTCTAGCCCATAGGGCATTTCAGCAGCCCCTGCCCCTCCCCTGGACGAGAGAATAGGAAGCATAAGTAGCAGAGCTATATTTTAAGGCGTGAGCTAGGTCTCTGTGCTTCTGCTCCTGTATCTGGGAGAATTCTGTTGCCTTCATCCAGGGTACCAGCAGAGGCAGGCCCTTTAAGACAGACTCCCTCCCACAAGGGAAAAGACGCCCAGGAAACAGCCCCTCCCCCTGGCTGGCCTAGAGAGGATGGAGAGCGCAATGGGTTCTTCCATTCAGGTTCCCCGTGGCTCACCCCCCTCCCTCAAGGGTGGGGCCCCTCTTCCTCCTCATTCAATAAGTCCAACTCACACTGAGTGGCACTGGGCCACTGAAGGGTTTCCAACTCCAGTGCCCTGGGACACCAGGGAATCTGGGAGCGCCTAGGGTAGGGGAGCCTGGAGAGGGACAAGACTCAGGCTGTGGGGCACATATGCTGAACGCACAGTACTGCACATCTGGCCGTGATGCAACCCACTACTTCTGAGCCTGTCCACACCAGGAAAAGGAACGAACACAGGAACACATACAGACACACACACAGAGATACACACAGAGCTGCTGACAAAGTTCAATACCTGCTTCCATCCAGCTCCTTTCATGAGTTGGGAGAATCAGAGACCTGCTGGTGGGAACCCAAAGGTATACTCTGCAAATAGTGCCACCCCCATCCCCCAACTATACAGACAGGAGACAGGTGCCTGTGAAGGCAAAGCAGACAGTCTCAAAGACATTCGCAAACAGAGACCCATGTCTACAGATACCTTCCTACCATCAAGTCAGGTATAATTCTTTTATCTGCCACCAGAATGAAAGATCCCCGAGCACTCTGACACAGCTAAGGGCAAAGCTGTGGGTGTGGGCACACGTTCACTCATCACCCTCGTTCCTGGCCCCTCCTCTGTGCCTTTCAGCCACATCTCTGCCTTCCCCTCCTTTCACTTTCCACTGTCAATCCTAGGACAGAGAACTGGACAGCCTTCCTTTCTCCTGCGTCTGCACTTTTCCCGGCCTTCTCCCCCAGCCCTTCCATCTTCATTAATAGCCAGCTTCCTAACACTAGGGAACATCTGGGCTCTGCCTGCCTTGGGTGGTGGGGTGGCTCTTCCCTCCATCTCCTCCACTTCCTTTAAGAAGCCAGAGGCCCTGTCCTGGCACAAACCCCCAGAGCTAGACCATCCGATTGGAAACTAATTATATAGCAAATTTTATTTGTTATCCCTGCCCTCAGCCTGTGGCAGCCCTCCTGCCTTTTGTTAGTTGTATGTGTATGTTTTTGAATTGCTAAATAGTGACTCATTCTGACTGGTCCCCCTTACAGGAAACAGGCCCCATCTACAACTGTCCCCTGTAGAGCTTCCTCATACCCAAGCTCCCCACTGGCCTTGACTAGCCTCCAGGGGCCCCCACCCATAAGCACTCTCAGTCCTACCAAAGCCCAACCTCACCCCCATGATATCACACCCAGGCCCCAAGCTGGGGCTTCTGAGATGGCTCAGTCTCAGGCCAACCCCCTCCTTCTGGTATGACTCAACCCTGAAAGCCAGGGGACCAGGGAGGGACCTAGGAGGAGCCCCCCTCCACTGAAGGGGATGGAAGTATTGCTTCAGTCCAGTTCCAAAGCCAGGCCCAGAGGCCTGAGGGGGAAGGCGGTTTTGACATTGGCCGCTGCTGCAGGGTGTATACAATGGGAGGGGATGCGGTTCTGTAATCACCCAGCCGGCAGCCCAGGGGAGCCAGCTGCCTGAAACCAGATTGCAAGGCAGCTCAACCTTAAACCCACAGGATTCTTTTTCCGTCTTCCACTTCCCCTCCCTAAATGTGGGAGGGCTGTGATAGAGGGCTGGGCTGGGAGAAAAGGGCTCAGGGTGATGAAGACATACTTTAAGGTTTGTTCATGCAGACGCATGCAACACACAGAGGCACACAGAGGGCAGTGATTCTCACACATAGAGAGTGGGCTATAGGGAATAATCCGAATAGCTGAGACGCTGTCCAGTGATGCGGTTGGCTGTCCAGGCCTTGGCCAGATAGATATCAGGAGTTCTGCTCTCCCTCCGGAAGCGCCCCTCCACCCCCCAATGTGTTTCCAATAGGGCTTGAAACTAACATGGCTGCTTTTGTTTACTTCCTCATTGGTATGCCAGCATCATGGATCATGTCAGCCACAGCAGCGGCACCAGGACACTCATTACATAAACAGCAGCTGGAGAAGCAGGACCTGGGTCACTGCCTTTGGTGACTTCCCGTAGGGCCTACAGAAACAACGCTGGGGGAGGGAGCTGACCGCAAAACAGAAAAGCAACACCAAAACTCTACCCTTGACAGCCCCACACCTGAATTCTACATATGACTCACAAGATGGACCCTATGAGCACAGGTGCAGGAATGTAACAAGTAGCAATCCGTAGCCCTTCTTCCCAGGCAGGACCTTGCTCCCAAACTTACAGCGTAGGAGAGTTTAGAAGGGGGCCTCTTCCCTGATGTCACAAGTCAGTCTGTCCGAATGGGTGGTCCCCAGGCAGTAGGGATTGAGGGAGAGAGAAAGGGGGAGGGGGGAGAGTGTGTTTGTGTGTGTAGGGTACTTGCCCGGATCTCATTCCTACGGATCTCCACGTCGCACACCGAGTGTCCCTGATGCGCACCGCTGTAGTAGCAGCAGTACTGGCACACGGCCACCTGCTCGGCCTCGCAGTGGTAAAGGCGGTAGGCGTTGTGCTGCGGGCAGCTCCAAGCCCGCACGTCGTCCGCCTCCACCAGGAGGTGCCCGCGGGCGGTGGAGGGCTGCTGCAGGTGCGTCTGCACGTGGGACTGGCAGCAGGGCGCCTCGCAGCGCAGGCAGACCTTCTGCGCGGGCAGCGGGGGGCCGCGGCGGCAAAACACGCAGTGCAGCGCCGCCGGCGGCTTCTCCACGTGCAGGGCGTTGAACTTCTCCACGATGTTAGTGAGCTTCAGGTTCTTCTCCAGGCCCGGCTTCTGGTTGTAGGCCTGGTTGCACTCCGGGCAGCGCACCAGGCCGCTGTCCTTGGCCCACGCCTCGCCAATGCAGCCCCGACAGAAGTTGTGTTTGCACGGCAATTGCACCGGCTCCACGAAGACATGCAGGCAGATGGGGCAGATGAGTTCCTCCTCGAAGCAGTTCTTCCAATTCTCCGCCATGGCGGCTGCGGGCAGGGAGTCCGGGCAGGTCTCCCCAACTCCCCAACCCTGGGGGTCCGTCCAGTGCAGCTCTAGGACCACTGAGCCCCGACAGTCGCTCAGTCACCAGCGCCTTCCGCGCGCCCGCCCCCCAGAGGAGGGAGCCTTGGTCCTCACGCCGCGCGCGCAGCGGGCTGCGTCTCCTCCTCCTCCTCCTCCTCCCGAGTGCCTAGCGGGAGGCGGCGGACTGCGCCAGGGCCGCGGCCGGGGCACCAGCCCTAGAGGGGAGCGCCGGGGTCCAAATTCCATATAAGAGGCCGCCTCCCAGTCGGTGCGGCTAGGGCAACTGCGGCCCGCGGCCTCCGCTCGGCCCCGCGGCTGACTTGGGGCGCGCCCCCGGCGGACAGAGCCCCGGGAACCGCA